AAACCCAACCAACCAACCAAAAAAACCCCCCAACAACATCAAATCCGCACTGTATAAAAACGTAACTAAATTATTTAAAATTAATTTGCACTTTAACTTCCGAAACAATTTTTCAAATCCCATCGCCCGTGAAAATAGATGTTCAGATCCGCCGTTTAATTAAGGCAGAGTCTCTAGCAGGGAAATAAAACCCCGAACGTCCCATTTTAATCTTTGCTGCAAATGTAGCTAAGGCAGAGCCCGGCTCCGCTCCTGCCGAGGCGGCTCTCACCTCGCCTAGAGCAGAGTATGGTGGATTTTATAGTGTTTTTATCTGCATATAGTTAAATCTTCTTGCTGTTCTAACTAATCTGCTGGAGAGGGTTTCTTTAGCTCTTTCCTGTCAGTCTAACTTCCCAAGTGTAACAGATGCCGCTCTCAAGCGGTCCTTTCTGCTGCTTTTCTTTATTCAGCCTCGCATATTTCTCCCCATGATCTGGGTTTCCATAGAGAGAGGAATAAAAGGGGGACCATGGCCACAAATCCCCTGCCCCATGCAGAATAAAAGAGCCTTATTCAATAGCCGACCCCGTCTGGACATGGGAGAAAAATAAGTACATGCAAAGCTACTGTTGCAAGAATTTGTAACTTATTTTTCATAGACCGAAACCCATTAAAGTTTTTTTTTAATTTAAAAAAATTTTTAAAAAAACTTTCCGGGTTCGGACCGTGCGCTCCAGCCCTTTGGCTCCGGGTGCCCCCGCCCCGGAGAGCCCCGCGTTTGCCTAACAAATAACTCGCTTTAATATCTATTTTTTCTGCTAAATCTTTGGCGTGAAAAAGCTCGCACAATAGCGGGAGGCAGCACCGTCCTGGGGCAGCGAGAAGTCGCTGGAGAGAACCCCCCGCTTTGAAGTGCAGGGATTGTGTGGAGTCCCCCCGGCACAGGCGGGACCGGGACTTTCTGGGGTCACCCGGGTGCGGGGCGTCCCCTCGGTGTCCCCCACGCTCGGGGCAGGGTGGGCTGTCCCCGCACCAACCCCGCACGTTCCCCTTTAAGAGCTCCAACCCAATGCGGGGTGCGGTGTGTTTGTGTTCCATAGGAAGGGACCTGGCACAGAGCGAGCCCAGGAGCGCGTTTGTTATCGTGACAGAGCTGATTTTATTATATTTAAGAGATTTTTTTGTTTTTTTTTTTTTTTTTGCTCATTGTTCATCCGCGGGAGGGGAAGGAGAAAACAAAAAAAAAAAAAAAAAAAAAGAAAAAAAAAGGTCTAAAAGGGGTTCGTTTTGATTGTGTTTAATACAGCATGAAGCTCGGAGCGGTAAGCTGTGCCTTGGTGTCGTGACCTCTATATAGAAAACTTCACCTTCAACACAAGTTCACTTTAGAGACAGGACGAGTTAGATTGCGCTTGGTGGGAACAAGTGCAAATTTAAAAACAGAGTCAATCATAACGGGGGTGGGGGCTGGGAAAGGGCAATTTAACCGTTTCTGGAGCCAGGAGTTAAGGTTTGCATTGTGTACATCCAGGCGCTGAAGCCCAGCCACCCATCAGGGCTGAGAAAGCGGCTCCTGGAGCTCCAGAGAGGCTTTGGGAACACCTAACCTGCGTGGGGGAAGCTTAAGAAGCAAAAAGGAATTTACAGAGTATTAGCAGAAATTAGCCAATACCGACACAAGCTCAATTAGTTCCTTTTTTTTTTTTTTTTTTTTTTTGGTCTCTGTTGGCTGCTCTTGAACGTGAGTAAATGCTGTGCAGGGAGAGAGGAGGGAGAGAGCCACACACTGCCATCTCAGAGCCCCAGCCAGGAGATGGACTGACAGATTGCAAATTAAACTAGTCCTAATGTAAGAATGAAAGCAGCCCCCCCCAAATCTCTCCCAGCACCAGCCCGGCAGCAAAGAGCCCGGCACGGAGGGAGCGTGGCTGCGGCTGGGCTGGTCCAGGGAGGGACAATAAAGCCAGTCCCGGGCAGGAAAAAATCACAAGGTAAATAGTATTTGTATTCTAACTGCTGCGGTTTCCGAAGCGTTTTGGGCGACTCCTCGCTCCTCTGCTCGAATCGCCTGTTATTGTTATTATTATTAATATTTTTTTTCGACGTTGTTGATGTTTGAAAAAGCGTACTTGCTGCGGGAAAAAAAAAAAATGTCGTTCATCCGTGCACTACCCCGTCACGTTCGGGTCACTGTTATTTTGGAGCCGGGTCGGTTTTAGAGGGTCTCGTCTCGAACGTTTGGTTGACGGAGCAAAAAAACCATCAATATTCCGGGAAGTCTCTCCAAAGTGCACATTTTTGCTGCGGGACCGGTCTGGCCGTTTATTAAATCCACGAATTGAAACGTCGGGTTTTGTTGTGTTTATGGAGAAAACAGGGATGGGGAGAGAGGGGGCTGCGGCCGCGGACCCTCCTCGGGCGGTGCGTGGCAGCTCCTCGAGGTCACGGCAGGAGTTAATAGACCCGCACAACAATGCGGGTCCCTTCCCTTTTACGTAGGCACTTTCCTCACCGTGCCATTCACACAGGCGTGATGACAAGAATGCGTTTGTTTCATCCCGGACCGAAATCCCGTGGTTTTTTAGTGATTTTTCTTTCTTTTTTTTTTTTTTTTTGCTGTGAAGCTTCTCTCGGCAAACGGGGGGGATGCGGTTAAGGATGGGCACCCCCAGCTCCTGGGCAGCTCCTGTCGCGCCAGAGGCCATCCTGCCCGAGCTTTAGAAATAATCCACACACAATTCCCGAACGGACAGATTCCTGCTCAGACATATTTAAAGGAAAATGGGTTGGATTTGAACCCGCACTAACTGGCTCGCTAGTTAACCTCTGTTGACTAATGAGACACTGAAGACAAATCGCTCTATTCCTTGGATGACAAATACCTGCGTTGCTGTTTGGTAGCTTAGCGAGCGGTTTCCATGTGGGGTTTGGGGGTTTATGTGTTGTGGGTTTTCCCTTTATTTATTTATTAACTATACGTTTTTCCAGCTGTAGCACTCATCGTGCAAAGCATCCAGCGATGCTCCTGATTCCGCAGAGGGACTGAAACGCCTCCTGCATTTTGAAGCGCCTCGTCAATCCTAGATTTACGTTTAGAAATACGTAGATGCTGCTGCTAATTCTTGTTTTGTCACAGACTTTCGCGTGTTTACGGCTTGGTGGAAAGTTTCCTGCCCCCTTCATTCAGGTTGAGCCGACCCAAGCTGTTACAAGAATGAACTTTCAGGCCAGGCTGCGTTGCTAAAAGATGTTTCCTTCGTGAATCGCGCCTGGGCAATGCAGGATGGGGATGGGGGTCGTGAGGCAGGTTGGGCGTGTGCGGTTCCCTGGCACCTCATGGTACATTTTCTCCCCACTCTCGCCCAGGAGAATCCCGGTGAAAGCCCCTGGAGGCTGCAGCATCCCTGCCCCTCTGTGCCCTCCCCGGGCGGGGGGTCCCGGGCACGGCGGGGGCTGCGGGGGAGAAGTTCATGGGGAGGCGGGCGGACAATAAATCACCGCGGGCCCCAGGGCACAGGGAAGCGCACACGGGAGAGTCTCCATCAAAGGGGGGGGAGACAGCCCTCGGCTGCGAGAAATAAATGGGAATAAATCAAAGCAGGGGGTGCCCGGGGCAGGGGGGGCTGAGCCGGCCCCGCTCCTCCCGGGAGCGCCGGAGCAGAGCCGGGGAAAGGCACTCTGCAAACTTTTAATGAAATCACCGGTGCTATCGATTTTTGTGGGTTTTCTTGCCGTGCTTCAGACATTGGAAAGTGTCCCTCTGGGAATGGGGGAGGGGGCAGAAGGCAGCGGTGCAACGCGAGCTGTATTGGACATGCAGTTATTTCATATTTTCGAAAATAAACGACGTCTCTGAGGGTCCTCCAGAGAGCAAAGGGACTCCAGGGGCGCTTGAGCCAACCCATAAAGCTCGGGGTTTAGGCGTGCAGGTGTCAGTTTGCAGGCCCCTCGTGGACCTCTGGGGGACCGGGACTGGCTGTTATCCCCGCGATCCCTGATGGGAGAACCCCGGGAAAGCCGGCTCTCCTCCTCGGACAACACAGTTTTGAAGTGCCACATCCAAGTGTTTCCTCTTTGCCTCTTCTCCAAACTGTTTAGAAATTACTAGTAGTGGATAAGTAAATTGCAAGTAAACCTAGTGAATTAGGATGATTCTCTATCAGTTTAATTTATGTTTTATAGTTAGTTTAGCCTTCTGATTTGATTGCCTTAGTAATGTGAATTGCCTACAGCTGCTGATGATACAGCTTTAATTCTGTTTTAAAGGTCATGTAAACATGTGCCTGTAGCATAAGGAATGCAAATTCAATTCCCTTTTAATGCTTCCTCACATTCACTTCACAGCCTTCACCTCGAAAATTAGCAGGATTTAATAGGGAACCGTGTGACTGTTGTGATTCCATTAAAAGCCCCTCTCACCCCCAGGCGTGGCTCTCCCGGGCCACCCCACGCCCGTGACACGGACACGGATGTGCTTCCCACGCCCGTTTTGGGGGAAATCGAGGTATTTTCCTCCCCGGGATGGACTCATCACCTTCACGTGGGAGCTTTAGCTGCAGGTAATTAATTATCCCAGGGCTGGATAACCCGGCGGCATCTCGAGTTACCCCTCAAAGCAGCGGGAGCATCCCACAGGTGTGCACCTATGCGTAAGGCTGTAGTAGAGCTGCGTGTGCCCTTACGTCACGGTGAAAAGCGATGCTGGGAAAGAGAAAAATGGAAAAAAACACTTGTTTTGGGCCGAGGTGGGCTCTCCGCAGCAGCAGGGGGAGAAGCGCGATGCCAAGGTGATGGGCGTCAACGAGAGACGCCTGCGCCTTGAAGACAGGCATCGTCGAGTTAATTTTTAAACACGACCAGCCCTGAGTTCATCAGAGATTGCTTCAGCCCAGAGTAGGTAAAAAAATTCATCAAAAAAAAAAAAAAAGGGGAGAGAAAATTGATCATTATTTGGACTATCACCTTCTCAAAGCAGGAAAAATGTTGTTTTGTTGGGTTTTTTTTCATATCTGCTAATAAAATGGTGTCTTGACTTTGGTTCCTCCTAGAAACATCCAAACACACCAGGCTATTTTCAACATAATTTTGCAATATTGCATTCAGGCTATGTAGAAATCCCTGGAATTGGAAAGGAAGCCAGCTGTGTCTTCTTTTTAAATTGCATTTTTTGGTTTCACAGTGGTCTGCGGTCTGGAAGGAGCTCTGGGTGCTCTGCACCACGGGCAGAACACCGGAGGGTTTGCAGGGTGATGTGGGTTTTTATCCAGAGCAGGGAGGACACTACTGGATCCACGAGTTCTATTTAGGAAGGGAGAATCTTCAGATATTTTTAAGACCTGTAATTAGTCATTTGAAAGATAGTAAAGCAACTTAAGCAAATTTCTTTACTTTCTTTTCAACTGTGTGGGTAGACTTGTACAGTGGAGCTGGTGCTCAGAGAAAGTCTGTGCAAGTTTTCCTGAAAAAAAACCTGTGAATATCAGAGATTATTCTGGGAGAGGAAGCTCAAATATCAGGTATTCATAGGTAGAAAGAGTCAAAAATCTCTTGCAAACACTGAAGCAGACTAAGTTTAAGTATGGCTGATGGTAAACAAATCTGTTTA